TGAGAAAAATATTTTTTCGATCTCGTGTCTTTGTACGAACGTTTTTTTTTTTTTTTTTCCCATTTGTATCATCGAAAAATATAATTATTGTGAGTAATGGTCCGCAATACGAAATGAAACGACAGTACAACAACAGTGCGTTGAAACCGCCGTCGTTTAGTTTCCTCTACTGGCGCATCCCCTCACGTTTTACAGCGCGTGTCAGGGGTCTTATCTCCCTCCGCTCCACTCTCACCTGTCGGCTTAAAAACCCAAACAAATAAAAGAGATTTAATAGCGAAACGCACATGTTTCGGCCGAATTACGAGCGGATACGCGCCAACGTACGGCACTGATTGCACGATGGCTTTTATGTGCAGGATCCGGCTTTTAAATCACCGATTCCCGTAACTACAGTTCAGCCGGGTTTAGGAGGAGACGATAGTAATCAAGACCGATTCTCATTCGCTACCTCCCGTCGAAAATCCCTACGGCCGCAACGGTCTCGTCGGTTATTGCTAATCGCGTCGTCGTCGCGAAACATACGCGTCCGCGGACAACAATCAATCGATTCCGTTCGGCGGGGAAAATTTTACAATAAAAAAAAATAACAGCAGGCCAGGTACCGGTTATTATTTTACGGCCGGTTCGGAAATCGGACAACGGATTTTTCGTTCTGCCCGTGCTAGGGGGAAAAAAAAAATCTGTTGCGTACGATGACAGCGGCCGACGTATATTATTATCGCGGTGTTTATACGATAATTACGGCGGATATTATTATTATTTTTTTTTTTTGATTTTATCGCGAGCAACTCGTGCAAAACGGACACTCACTGTCTATATCCCATGTTATACGCGGCGTACATCATAACTACACGCGCGGATACGCCGCGAAATATTATCGCCGTAACAGTACTCGACAGCGCGCGCGATAGTTTTCGGGGCGTTTGTTAAAAAAACCGTCCGGACGTCCGCCGCCGACGCACGTCTGTTGTTCGGTTTTACCGCGACGCCCGTGCGCGCGAGCCGTTCACTCGAACCCTGGACTGCGCGCGGTGGCGTGGCCGGCAATTTTCGAACGGAGGGAGTGGGGGGGGGAGGGTTGTGTGTAGCGGACAAGAATCGTAAAATCGTCTCTTCTCTGCTCACAATTATACTACTGCGCCCGACCGTACGGTAATTTAAAAGCCCGATCCTATGCAAAAAGCCGATTTCCAACACCAACGCATCCATCGAGCTTTTCCCCCCGTTGAATCGGCCGAAATATAACGCGTGTCGATATCAAATAACATGTATTTTTGTTTGTATTTTTTTTTTTTAGCCATCGGGGCGGGGCACCTTACCTCTAAACTCTACCTGCGTACGCGATCTACGACAGACGCGTAGCGGTTCTCAAAGCGAGGAGACGGGTCGCGGGGACGGAATCCCAGTCCTCGTTGAGGGTAAAATCACCAGTTCAAGTGTTCCGGAGGGGACGGTTTTCAAAATAGGCGCGGGTGTAATTGTCATTGAACAATATTGTTCGGCAGCGACATTTCCGTTTCGAATCAGTTTTTCTTAAAAAAAAAAAAAACAAACGCTAGTGTTTTCTCACGCCCGTTATATAGATTTTAAGTATGGGTAATCGAGTTTCGTTTTACATTCGTTTCTACACCGAATGGACGTGCGCGTATGATAGTAATGGAGGCGTTTATGTGGACGGTTCGGTTTGTTTGTAAACCATGTGTATTTCGTGTAATATTTTCACAGGCGGATGAGCGTGAAAGAAAAAAACATTTCGCGAGTGTTTTTGTCTCCGTGACGCCCCTCGGTTTTCGGGTAAATATTATAGTCGTGCCCCCTAGAAGTTTCGTCCCCGCCGTTAACCTGCACCGCGTCCATGTGCGAAACGCACGAGGTTATATTACCGTTACCGGATTGCAGACAGTTTTTTCAAAGTTTTTTTCGGACCGATAATAAAGGACGGCATCGCAAACCGGAGAGAGATCGGAGACGAAAAGGAAACACAGAACGGAATATATATTTTAGAGACGGTCGACACGAGGAAGACTGATGAGGCCGGCCCGAATGTAATTTAACGGACGCGTATAAGCCGAAACTCCTATACCGGCCGTCCGAAACAGAACTCGATCAGGTCAATTCCACTGGGACGGCTACAGCGAATGAGGCGGAAAGACGTAGGGAAAATAAAACAAAAAAAAAAACGACTAAAAAGTTTTATCAGACGGCGCACTGAATCGGAAATTTCGGCAACGGACAGAACGCAGCCGGACGGTATAACAGCCTGCACACACACACACACACACACACACACATAATGCTCCCACCAAATAATTATGACGAAACGAGTATAAAACTATCGAGACCCCGGTCCTAGGGCAGAGGACTTGCAGCATTTGCATATTCGCATTTTTGCACAGTCACGAAAACAGCCGAGTACAAAACAAATACGTTTCATGCTTTAAAAAAAGTTAGTTTTGAAATTTTATTTTGCATATAAATGCATACTTTGAGTCCTTTTTGTTTATTGTGCATATTTTACATTTTTATCCGTCATTTTATATTTTTTTGAGACATATTTACCTCGCATCGATATTCGCTTATATCGATATATGTTTTAATTTCAAACAATCAGTCGAAATGTTCGGATAAAAATGTATTTCGAATGTCCACGGGCATACGTTTTTCCTAGAAGTGCTTAACGGTCGGCGATATGGCAATAACATCGATTTGCCGGAATTATTTTCATCTAGGCAGACGGTCGTTTACGGATATTTACGTATACGTTTATTCGATTAGAATTTTTTATTTATAAAACGTTTCTAGACACGACAACAATCAATATTTTAATATTTAGTCGCGGTCAGTTCTGCGGAACGTGCATTCGTATTGATCATGCCGACTTATTGGCCGTACTATACATTTATTCGAACATTTTTATTCCATACTCGATATTTGTAATAAAACGCCGAAAGATAAACGGCCATTAAGTACTCGGTTAACATGATTTGTGTCCGAGTTTGGAATATTAAGAAAAATGTGTTTTGGGTATTTGAGTATGGTATGAAACATATTTAAATTATATACTTGTTTTGACGAAAAGCTATTTATTTTATAAATACTTTAAAAAAAAAAAAAAAAAATTCTAGGTGCATATTATAGGGTTTTTAAGTGCATAAGTGCTTGCGTGTGTATTGCTTTTTTAGAGCTACAAGTCCTCTGCCCTATCCGGCACCAATACAAGTGTATCTCGGTGTATACATACGTATGTTTTCATTAGATTGTGTATAACATAAATATGCTGTTCGTGAAATTCTGATAGAGGAAAATAAAGATTCGTCGCGAGAATCTAATCTAACCTAACTTAACCTAACCTAACATTTAGGCGGAAAGTGGCACCGAAAGCGTTCCGTCGTGCAATTTTAACAGCGCAAACAATCGTGACAATTATAACAGTTTTCTTATCCGTGTCGTCCGGTTACCTCGGACCGTTATTCGCGGACGACGATCGGTCGTAAACGATGCGGTATCGGCTCGACGGAAAAAACAAAAAAATAATAATAATAATAATAACGAAATATTGGATTCTGTCGGAAAACCGTTTTTTTTCCGCGTGTCCTATCGACTCACTAGCCACAACGATATCCGCGCCGGTGATTCCTGCACCGTCAATACCGATAACGATAACGATAACGATAACGATAATCGTGGCGGGCCCTCCAGTGGGGTAACTACGAAATATCGCGTACAAGGAGAGAGAGAGAGGGGGGGGGGGGAAAGTCATTCGAAAAAGTCCTTCGCTCGACCGCGATAACGCCTTGGGCCCCTATCGCGGCGGATTCCGCGAACGCCATGGTCCACACGCTGTACCCAATACAGATAAAATCGTCGCTAATCGAACAGCGATTCGGAGCGAAGTGCCTTTTACACGCACGTTTTTCCCGGTTATCCCCGGGGCCGTTCCGAACGCCGCTCGAGGTCTCTGACGACGTCTCGACGAATCTCCTTTCCGCCGAGGAAACTACCGTGCACTCGAAAATCGCAGCGACCGTTTCCGGCGGAAGAGCCGCCGGCGGGAAAAAACGACTCTGAACCGAGTTCGGCTTGTGATGGTGTCGCCTTGTCGACTCTATTATATTATGTGTCGTGCCGCGGTAAAACGATTACAACAACGCGCGTTCCCGTGGCTACAACGATATTGTTTAGAAAACATTGATAAAACAATAAGAATAGGTTCTTAATGACGACGATAAATAAATACGAACAGTCGCTATAATGACAGTCTTGTTATTAATTTTTCCGTCTTTTTTTTTTTTTTTTTACCTATGAACGAGGTTTTCCTCGTTATCTCGAATATTAATGGGAATTTCAAAAAACCCTCACCTCCCTACAAAGCGCCGCCCGGAGTACGTTTACTGCCGGGAAAGACACGCTGCTCGTGATAACCGGAGTAAGTTTTTCCGGTAGGAAAAGTGTTCACCACGTGAAAAAAAAAAAAAATCCGAACGCGAACAATCAACGGCCGTTTTGTTGCGCCGGCGTTTCGTACAGCTCGGAAAATACTCGCGGAGAGACGGTTTCGAACGCTAAAACGGTTTTTGGCGAACGGGTGCGCTTTTACGGAACCCGGGGCGCGCGGCTAAGACGGCGCGACGAAACTCCGACGAAAACTTGGATTCCGTACGGACGGGCGGATTGGCTCTCGCGTCCGGATTGTTCAACAAAACGAAACCGCCCGGGACCCGGAGCGGACGAATTATGACCGCGACCGTTTCCCCGTGTTCTCGGCCGAGTTCGGCGGGCGAACTCCAAAGACCGTCTTTGAACGGCGCCCGGCCCGAGGAAATAACAATTTATTTACTGGCCGCACAAACGATTCCGACCGGAATTGGACCGGCGGTTACGCGGGGAACCGCCGAGTGTTGTTGACACGCGTCGTAAACGCACGCCATTCACAGACGCCACGGATCGACGGGACAGTCAAACTCGGGCGAAGAACACCAGTTGAACGTTTCACCGCCATGGATTTCATTTGTCCGCGAATCGACCGGCTGATATCGTGTTACACGTGCGGCGCGCAATCGTTACCGCCGTTTCAGCTGTGCGAGGCGTCGCACGTCAACTGTCCGCCGTGCTCGAAGCACATGGCGCGATGCGCGTGCGGCGGCCGGTTCGCGCGCGGGCCGCACCTGCTCCTGGACTGGATGGTGTCCGCGTTAAAGTTCAAGTGCAAGTACCGGGCCGGGATCGCTACGGGCGGCGGCGGCGGCGGCGGCGGCAGCGGCGACGACGCCTGTCCCCTGAACCGGTGGTACGCGGTCCACGAACTCCGCGAACACTACCGGCACGAGTGCACGCGCAACGCGTTCCCGTGTCCGTGGAACGATTGCGATCACGTGGCCCGCATCGAGACCGCCGCCGACCACTACGAGGAGGCGCACGGCCCGTTCCAAGCGCTGATTCCCACCGACGTGGACCGTTGGCACGACGTACAGTTCATCATACCCCCGTCGTAAGTGTCTCGTCGCCGTGTTACCACTGTTACCGCCATCGTCATTATCGCTGTCACCCGCACCGTCGGTTGTGTCGTTGTGGCGAAAAACTATCGGTAAACGGTCATTAACCGAAAACGTTACACGTTTGACCGCGATCGTTTCTGCGATACCGTCCGGTGTTGTAAAACCGCAATACAGGTTCGATCGGTTTAACAATCGCAACGCGTTATATTTTTTTTTTTTTTTTTTTTATGGCGACGCGAGCGCCGACGATAATTTGTCGAGTGTCCGTGTTCGTTGTTATTCGTGCGCTAGGTACAAGTCACGTTCGATTGTAGAAACACGTGTGACCGGAGTCAATAACGATTCTCGGGTAGATTTCGTCGTGCTGCCGGGACCGCGGGGGCCCGGGGCCTAAAACGGATGAGTAGAGAGAGAGAGAGAAAAAAATCATCGGCAAAAGATACCAGTAGTAACGCTCGTACGAAAGACCCGGGGCTACGGCCCTCTACCCCTAACACCCCCCTCCTCCCCCTTATCGATCACCAACCACCGACAATTATCCGGGGAAACGGGGGGCGGGGGGCGGAAAAAATCAAAACTTGACGGGCGCAAAATCAGAACACCATCCGGTTTTTTCGCGGAGAAGCTCAAATTTCGGCATGGGGGTCCAGAGTCCGTTGGCTCCCCACACTCCCGGCTGCGTGCCCGATCGGTTTGCGTTCCCGTATATCCGCTTGGGACGCGAGTTGTCCTCCCGACGGAACGTCCAAAACGAACAAACATTATGCGAATCGTAAAACAGAACAACGCGTTCGGGTGCGGGGATAATAATGTAAATATAACGTTTCTCGGGGTAACGTATTGAAGTAACGGACCAACGAACAAATTACGTTCCCCCCACCCCCGAGTTCCGTGTGTAACACTGTACGATTGTGTGGGCGAAACCCGCCGGGGACAATAACGCTATGTGTTTTTCTTTCTGCGCAGGACACGGGCCGACTTCGTTAAAAAAATATTCAACGGCTATTTCATGTTCACCATGAAGTATCCGACGTCGCCGTACCGCCGGAAGCACCCGCACCTCAAACCTCAAATCACCATGCGAAACCTCAATCCGGCGGATCAGTTGCAGTACACGCACGATTGGGAATGGGACATGTTCAGAAAAGTCATTATAGTCACCGTAACCATAAGGGAGTTGTACGATAACTGTTGATCGATATTATTATAATCTTTCTTTTTTTTTTTTATTTTTTTTTTCTGTTTAACTCTGACAATCCCGTTTTCATTAGAACGGAGATAATAACCCGATTCGATAAATTATCATAATAACACGTTGGACATTACGTATAATGTCCAATAATAATGCCGCGTAATATATTACGATAACAGTCCAAACGAAATAAACGTCTTGGCCGCCGCTCTTCGGCTCGGTCGAAACGAATTCCGGTATTTACGTGTCAAGGCCCTTTGTTAAGGGCAAAGAGATGACGTCATGGTCACCCGGCATGCTGTCTCGGCGTGACTAAACAACGAAACCGCGTTACTCGGAACCTAAATTGCGGCCTTTATATCGGAACGAGAGTTCGTATACGAATAACAAAAAGATAAACGCCGAGCACGAGGCGAAAATTCGAATAAAGTTTTAATGTTGAGCAGCTTTGAAATGCAGTGACCACAGCATAATAATATCATATTATATTTTTAACCAATATTTGTAGTCGTGTATATTGACCCAACGCTTACCCGGCTGTAAATCGTCTGTCCGATTTTTTTTATTCCCTCTAGGTCTCCTAACTTCTGGCGCATTTGTCACTTGCGGCCAATCGGGGTTTTTCGCCGTTTCAATCGCACAAAAGATACGCCGCGTCAATGCGTACAATTATCTGATACCGACATCGCCATTTTGGAAAAAAAGCGACTGTTCCGGTTTTTTTCCCCGTCCCCTTCAGTCATGTTAAACAATACGTATTGTAAGTCAGTATCAAAGGACCACCCCCCCTCCCGGAAAGAAGTTCAAAAACCCCCACTGGGGTATAGGACGCATCGTGTACATTTATTTATACGATTTGTTTATTTGAACGGCAAAAAGCTATAGATACGAAATACAAACGGCAATAATGGAGGTTGTAAAGGAAAAATTAAAATGTTTGATTAAATCCACGAATCTCATTGGTAATGGACACGGTAAGCTCAAAAATGGAATCGATTTTTCTATTCTGACTTTTTAATTCTTCACGAACCGTGTTTGAAAAGCAAAAGTACGCAAACCGATCGGGGCATTGGCGGGAATTAAATATGTCTTGCCCGGTTTCTGGTTTAGCGAGTTTTACACCGTGACTGAAATCACGCGTTATTACCTATCTCAGATTGATAACGTGTGTTATTAACGCGTCCTTGACGGTATGATGACCTGTCAAACTGATGTTTGGTAAGACACATTTGAATTCGTGTCGAAACTGATCTCTCATCAAACTATGTAAATTCAAAAACTATCAGAAGTCCTAAAATAATGAAACTATAGAGGAGGTTAGGGGAAAACGTGTTTGAAAAATGTTGTTTACAATCATATACACTATAACACGAATGACTATCGGGCGTTTTTCATTTTTCATATTTTTGCGCTGCATTACTGTTCGCAGGCCCGGCGAAAGGTCGAAACCGAAACGACGCCCGGGCAGGGCGAGGCGGTGACGCGCGTTACGGCGTCCGCACCGCGGTGGACATCCGGATCGATAACACAATAATATTATTACGTGTAAACATGCACACACACACATACGGGTGAGTCGCTGTCGTTGTAATCGCAGCGCACCGCGGGGAAATTTCGATATGTTTTTATGAAAAATTTGAAAAAAAAAACCTCCCACGCGACGGCGACAAAGCGAATTTCGGTACAATAATTGAGATACAGACGAGTAGTACCTACCGCGTGCGGGGACACGTGCATGTCATTAACAGCGAGTGACCCGAGTAGGTACCCGGCCGGGACGAGAACTAATAACGTACACCGGGGAAATTTATTGTTCGGCGTATTCGTACGGTCGCGTACACGGAGGACGCGGCTTTTTTTTATTTTTAGGATTTTTTTTTTTTTAATTTTATTTCAACGTCCTTTGGACGTCCGGCGCGGCCGCGTGTTTATTGTGTAATACGTTTTGTTTGGTGTTTTCTCTCTCTCTCTCTCTCTCTCTCTCTCTCTCTCCAAACGCCGGTCGGCGACACGAACCCTCGCGGCGGCGCACGTCCCCGACAGAATTATTATTATTGTTCGATTCGTCGTAACCCGCACGTCTCTCGCCGGCGCACGTACGACGGGGGATTCGGGACAGGTGTGTCGGGGCGGCTTTAGGGGTTACGCGGCGCAGAACGTGCCACTCCCGTTCCCTCCCCCGGAGGTTAAGACGGGTTCGACCCCGAGGATTTTTCGGAGATTAGACCGGAATGATTATTATTATTATTATTATCGTCATCGGGTCCGCGCTCCGGTTTTCTTCGGCGATATTATTGCCTGTGTGTTTTGGGTAGTTTCGGTGTTTGCCATGTCGAAACGATTCCGGAGTTTCGGAATAAACAAACGGGGAGATAGGGAGAGAGACAGCGAAATAGAGAGAGAGAGAGCGTAAACGCGGGCCCGTTTCATCGTCGAGTTTATCCTCCGTGCGTACGCGCGCTGTGTTATTATATTCAAACATGCGATTTACGTCGCGGCCGTCACTCGGAGGGGCGGACGACGAATTAATACATCGTGAACATTTTCGAAATTACCGTATCACGTGTATATATAAATGCACGTATATAATTAATACGGAGTCGGTTGTAAAGTTTTCGGAGACCGTGCACGTGCGCGTCGTTATCGACGCGACGGGGTAGGGGTTCAACGCAGCCGCGATAAACTGCGGAAAAAAAAAATCCAAATTCGAAAACGCGCGGGTGTCCCGGTGTCGTCCCCGGGGGTCCGTCGAGAACGGGGAACTCGAGTACAGCGCGACGCAATGCAATTGCAATGGCATGCAATGCAATATATTAATACTTAAACGTTATCGACGTTATCGTTATTGTTACGAACGAGGTAAGTCGGCTGCACGCGGGAACAATCGTCGTGCAGAATAGTCGGTACCGCCGTAGACGTTAAACAGTTCGGTCGAAAGTTCGACATTTTTCAACGGTCGTTGGCCGGCACGCTATGGCCACCAACCACGAAAATATCGGCGCGGATATTCGCGTTTGAAACGCGTCAAGGTGTACGGCACAGCGTAAATGTGGACGATTTCAAATTCAGCGAATATTAGAACTTTAAAATGTGGCGGTACGAATTTTAGGTGTAAAAACGAAAAGAAAAAAAGCGTTCCGCGAGCGTTTCAATCGCATTTTAAAAACGACAAACGCGCGTAATCGCTGTGAGTGTACGGATCACCAAACGATGATCGGCGAAGTAGCAAGGAGCAATTATAAGACGTAGTGCCGAAAACGATTTGCGCACGAAACCGAATAAACGAATACGACGGGAACGGCCAAACACCGGAAACTCTGCAGCATTTACAATAAACGATACGTAATCACTCCGAGGGTCCGTAACAAAAATTATAACCATCGCAAATTCAGTATGAAGAGTTTGAGAAAAGAACCGCATACACACGGAGAGATTTTTAATCACGCCGGTGGAAGGTATGGATAGCCCTAAGCCTATGTAAAAGTGAGAAAGGGAAATGCGCGTTGTGCGCGAACGAACCGTAAAAACAGGCAAATGTTGTACAATTTTTGTTTGAGTTTAAAATTTGTGCGCGCAAACGAGTCGTAAATAAAGGTAAACTGCGCGTGCGAACGAGAGCTGTACCCGGGTCGGGGGAGTGGGGGGGGAGGGGTGGCAGGGAGCGAAAATACGAAAAAAACAAAAAAAAAACCAGGGTATTATCGCGTTTTAAGCGTAATTTTTTTTCGTTTCTCCGTTATTACGGGGGTACGGGACGGGGGAAAACTTCGACCCCGGTCCCTCGGACGGGTACTCGCGCGCGCACACAGGAGTGTGTGTGTGTGTGTGTGTGTGTATGTGTTATGAATGCGTGGTCGGGAATGACGACGCCCCCGAACGCGACGACGGTTAGCAACGGTGTTTCTTTTCTTATTTTAACAACAGTGTGCAGTACGCAGAATACAGTACGCGTCGTCTGTACGATAATTGTGTACAAAGTTCCGCGTTGTCACGAGCGATAACATGATAATAAACGAGGGGAAATGATCAAAAAAAAAAAAATGGAAACGCAACAACGGTTTTAAAATACCGCCGCCGCCGTCGTATAGAATCGCACAATCGTTTTGTTGTCCGTTTCATCTCGCGGCGTACAGGAGTTATAATACAGTTATAACATTATTATCGTTATTATTATTATTATCGCGTGTATACGTACGGCCACTGTGTTGTACACACAATATTTTTATTGAAAAATATACACGGCGACGTACGTGATTTTTATTCTTGTTATTATTATTATTATTATTATTATTATTATTACGGTTTGTGTGCACGCGAAATTAGACATCGCATGCGGAGCGACGGTCGGCGGTGGCGAACAACGGTTGTGTGTGCCTACAGCCGAACCGGCGGTAGCAAGCACAACAATAAGAACAGTTCTGCGTGTGTGTGTGCGCGTGTGTGTGTGTGTGTGTGTGCGCGCGCGTGTGTGTATGTGCGGTAGCGCAATATTGTATAGCACGCTTAGCTGCAGTTATTGTGTGCGGACGCGTGTATTGTACGAAATAATAATAATAAAAGAAAAAAAAATCGTAAAAAAAAAAAAAATCGTATTATTTGTCAGTATACATTGTTAACGCGGTCGCCGTCGTTAACGCGGTGTGTACCCGACGTGCCGGCGGCGTACGACCGTTTTTCGGATTCCGAGCGGAGCGAGTGCGAGTTTTAATTCAGTAGGCGCGATTGGGGCGGGGGGAGGGGTTGTTCCCGGAGACTTTAG